CTTCTCCTCTGAGTGACCCCACTGTTTCTTTGTTCTTCCTTTTGCTACGAACATACCCATAAAAGCCTTTTTTGTTGCTTTTAACCTCTCTAGCAAGCCTGAGTTCATTCTGTGCTTTAGCTTTTCTGACTTTGTGTCTACACGTGCTGGCTATTTGTTTGAATTCCTCTTTGGTAGTTTCCCCCCTTTTCCATTTTTTGTACACATCCTTTTTTAATCCTAACTCAGTTAAAAGTTCTTTAGATAGCCCAGAGCAAAGAATGATTTTAAGTAATTAAGGACAATAGAGGATGAGTCATAGCAGGAGCTTTCGTGAGCCCGCTGCTTATGCACTTCGATATAGAGTTTTTGGGTTCTAAGTTAGGGACTGGGATGTTGTAGCCTTCCAGATGTTGTTTGGCCATCTCTGACCACTGACCATGTTGCTTAGAGCTGATGGGAGTTGGATCTTCATCCTTGTTCTAAATGGAACCTGAGAGACTTGAGCTAATATACCTAGAAAGCACTAGTAGGTTTCCTTCTACTGTACAAACCATGATCTAGCACATCATACACCATAATGAATGTAAGAGAACTTTCTTCTTGTGCTGTTTGGAAATGAAGTCCCACAAGTTCAATATACTGTAGATTGTGGAAGGCAAGTGGGAAAGGCAGGCTCTTCCTTTTCATGTAGGAACAAGAACGCAGATGAGATTTGCCTGCTGATATCACTCTTGACACGATGCAGACATGCCGTGATAAAATCAATGTGGCCATTGGTCTACAATGCAAATTTCCTGGGATAGTTCCACATCACATGTACAGTTGACCTGTGGATATGCATTTCTACACACACAGTCTTTCCCGTCTTAAAGTTTCAAGCTTTACTCTGAACTGTCTGGAGTTGGGTAGACAATTGGCAGGTTAAATTTTAGGTAGCTGCTTAAAATCATTTTGACAAACTATAATTATTTTAGTTATTTTCAAATGTTGTTGTTGTTGTTGTTGTTGTTGTTGTTGTTGTTGTTGTTAAGAATGTGAGTTTCTTAGTGCCCAATTTCACAGCTCTTAGTGCCAGTTTGGAGAATAAATTGACTATCCAAAATACAGTGGTTGTCTAGCCCTGGTCCAGAAGACACACATACTGACCATTGATCTAATGCTCTATCACAGTTTTAGGGCCTGATCCACTGCCCATTTAGATCAATGAGGACATTTCAGTTAAATTGTACTGGGATTTGATTCAGGCCTCCTTTCTCTGACCTTGCTTCTTAGACCAGCATCCGTATTCTTTTAATAAATTTCTGTCTCTTAATATTTTGAAACTACTTGTCTTGGTTACATCCCCTAGGGATACATAATAGAAACAATATGAAAATGAAATTTGGAAATAAAATTTACCAGAAAGTGGAATACAATTAAATAATGCCATTACCTAAAATTGAATACAGTTGTGGAAAGTTGCCATTTGAAGAGTTTCCTTGTTCCCATCCATTATTCAGACCTTCCTTTTGGAATATCAGATGCCTGAACAATGTTCAGAACAACCTATGCTACAAAGAGTCCAGCCTCATGTGTATGGATTATTTTATGTTGCCTAACTTTTATCTGCAGCAATCATGTTTGTACATTTATATATATGGACAAAGGCACACACAAAATCTACTAACGCCAGCTTCCAAGAAAACTTAATTAAGTTACTCAACTCATCCATGTTTTAATGATATGAAGTAAACAAAACATTTATGAACATTTCCAAATGCTAGTAATACCTTCCATAGAAATTAGAAATACACCTCCATTTGAAAATCAAAATGCACCAATAAATCAATCAAAAGCTCTTGATTGAACCAGTTTCCCCCTTCTCATCGGGTAACAACATCAAGCCAGTGATGGAATGGTGTGTTCCTTTAGCAGAAGGTGAATCCAAAGGCCCCTTAACCTGTAGCTCACAGCCTGGGTATAGCTGCTGGGAAACTAAGAAACAACCTCCCATTTTCCTCATGCATGGAGACCAACCAGCAAGCATTTGAGGAGGAACAAACAGGTATCACTACTGAAGGCCTGTTGGGTCATCCTATTGAGTTGGCATAGGGCTTAACTTTTGGGGTGACTAGACTTTAGCCACATCATGAGAAGAGAAGACTCCCTTGAAAAGACCCTGATGTTGGGTAAGATTGAAGACACAAGGAGAAGGGGTCAACAGAGGACGAGATGGTTGGACAGTGTTCTCGAAGCTACCAACATGAATTTGATGAAACTGCAGGAGGCAGTGGAAGACAGGAGAGCCTGGCGTGCTCTGGTCCATGGGGTCACAAAGAGTCAGACACGACTAAACAACAACAACAACAACAAAGACTTGCCATGAAAACATGGGGTAGATTATTGGATCCTTTCTTTTTGTGGCAACTATTAATATTGTAAAGATTCCTGGTTTTGTTTTTAGTTGTTTAAAAAACTACAGTATGGCAGTTAATTGCTTGTTCACCCTGAAACCTAGAATATTGTTTGTTTACCCTGAACCCTAGAATATTTAGCACGCTTCGACTACCCATTTCCTTGTCATCTCCCTCTGCAACAGTGCATACCACTGCCAAGAAAGGCAAGGCAAGGCAAGGCGAGTGGGATCTATTGCTGCTTCTCCTTGCTCTTCTCACTGTTCACGCACTAAGAGAGAGCAGGTGAACATGCAACAACAGCAAAGAGGAAGAGGAGGAGCAGAAACAGGCCACTCTGGGGGTCAGTGCAGTGGGCCTCAGCAAGGACCCAGCAACACAAACTCTGGCCGACAGCCCTGTCTAATACACTCACTTTCTCTAAGTCACCAGAGGAGATGTAACAGTGGCACTAGAGATGGGAAATAAATTGGATTTAATTTCCATTTAAATGTGAACCTGCGTAAGTTGCTATTTCTGAAACAATACACAAACTGAAAGGCAGACACCCTATAAAATTCACACTTCACTGAATTTTGCAATGCAGTTCTACAACCACATTTAATGTTTACAAAAACACACATATGCAAGGTAAAATATACATTAAAAATGCACATATATTTTTGAAAATAGCTTACAAAATGCATCACATTCAGCGAAATTGCTTTGCAAAAAATGAGAACATTTGGCAAAAGAGCATACAAATATGGGTATATTTGGAGAAATTTGCACTCAAGTTCTGGTGAATTTTTGTGATCACTTAAAAACATGAAAACTGATGTGGGGCTTTGGAGAAGGGAACTTAAGAGTTGAAAAATAAGAAGTGGAGTGAATCCAAAATTGAGATATCTGTCTATCCCCAAGCGGCACATCTGGTTGGTTTGGTTTAATAAAAATAAAAAAAATACAGGTTAGTCCCAATGATATATAAAGTGGTGTGGGTTAAAATCAAAAGGCATCACAATGCACAAATGAATGATGCTCAGACACACATACCCCAACCTCACCTTTCCTTTACAAGGGTTCTAATCCTATAATTGATTCTCGCTGATAGAAAAGCACTGGGAAAGGCTGGCTGGAGGTAAGGCAAAAGCAGGTGGTGAGGTTTAATGCCACTCACTTACCTATTGTTTTAAAACTAGATTCCACCCCCACTCCATACACCAGACCCCACATGGTACGTAATTTAGTCTGACTGGTTTTTAAAGAGGCAAATCTGCCATCATCACATCGAGTTCTATCCTATGTCAGCTATTCATTAACCCCAAACACGGGTGGCGCTGTGGTCTAAACCACTGAGCCTCTTGGGCTTGCTAATCAGAAGGTTGGCGGTTCGAATCCCTGTGACGGGGTGAGCTCCCATTGCTCGGTCCCAGCTCCTGCCAACCTAGCAGTTCGAAAGCACACCAAAAAGTGCAAGTAGATAAATAGGTACTGCTCTGGTGGGAAGGTAAACAGCGTTTCCATGCGCTGCTCTGGTTTCGGGGTTCCATTGTGCCAGAAGCAGCTTAGTCATGCTGGCCACATGACCCGGAAAAACTGTCTGCTGAGAAACGCCGGCTCCCTCAGCCTGTAAAGTGAGATGAGCACCGCAACCCCAGAGTCGTCTGCAATGGGACTTAACTGTCAGGGGTCCTTTACCTTTACCTTTTTACTAGAAAATCAACGGAGCCCTAATATTTGGAGCAGGTTGGGGTGGAGAAGTATTTTATTATGACAGAGAAGAAACTACTCAAAGAAAACATTTCTAGTAGCAAAGACATCCTGGGACATGTCTCTCATACAGCAGCAGCTGTGCTACCCTTTCATTTACATGATGGATTCCAGATTAACACTTGGGGCTCCTGTCAAATTAGCCAGCCTTCCACGTCACTCTCTCTGTCTTGACTGCATTCGTGAAAGGAAACGCATTTGAAGATAATCAGGCAGTTTAACTTCTGAAGCACAGAAAAAGACCGCTCTTTTTATATCCCTCTTTGCAAGGCCATTTGTGCAGTTGAACGGATATCAGCACTACGGTGAATGCATTGTTATTTACTGTTTTGATTTACGGCGCGTTTATCCTCTTCGGAAAAACTCAGATCAGTTTACAACAACAACATTTCGAGTTTTGAGCAACAAGCCATAATCCACAGGCTAGACAAAAAGAAAACTGCGAGGCTTTGTCGCCAGCAGAACCAGTTGCACGGGCTTCTTAAAGCTTTCTAAGGCCAAAATGCTTAATAGTGTTTGGGAAAAGCTTGTAATGTTGGACTCTGGCAACCTTCCCTAGGAGCAAATACCACAACCTTGGGGCCACTGTTGAGAATGCTTTGCTATATGCCTTTCCAGATGTTAGCTGGTGCAAAGATGGTGCTATCAGGAAGGCTTGTCTTAAGAGCCATGAGGACTCAATATGGGACAAGGTTCTCCCTAAGATTTAGAGACATATCAGTGACTGTACTAATGTTCATTCCTTTTTTCAGAGGGGGGCGAGTTAAGGCTGCAGCTGAATTGAATAGGTGCATTCTTAGAATCATAGAATTGTAGAGTTGGAAGGGACCACAAGGGCCATCTAGTCTAACCCCCTGCAATGTAGGAATCTTTTGCCCAATGTGGGGCTCGAACCCACAAAGCTGAAATTAAGAGTCTCATGCTCTAGCTACTGAGCTATCCCTCTGTTAATGTATATATTGTCGTGATTATATGTTTGGGGGAACTCCCCTGAACCCTAGATATTAATAAATGGTAGGATTTTAATTATTTGGAGCATTGAAGGGAAGATTGCAGGCCAGTGGAAAAATACAGGCTAAGCTTCCTTTCCAAGCCAGTGCCTCACCTGGGATAGAGGTATTAACACGACCGAAAGTGTTGATAGACCATCTAAGTGTGGTGTAGTGGTTAAGAGCGGTAGACTTGTAATCTGGGGAACCGGGTTCGCGTCCTCGCTCCTCCACATGCAGCTGCTGGGTGACCTTGGGCTAGTCACACTTCTCTGAAGTCTCTCAGCCCCACTCACCTCACAGAGTGTTTGTTGTGGGGGAGGAAGGGAAAGGAGATTGTTAGCCGCTTTGAGACTCCTTCAGGTATTGATAAAGCGGGATATCAAATCCAAACTCCTCCTCTTCTTCTTCTAAGAGGAATCTTGGGCCTGGGCAGAGAGTGGGGAGCCAAAATCTGGCTACCACTTGGCAGAGAGTGGGGGTGGCTCCCAACTTTTGTAACGTTATTAATTACTACTACTTCTACTACTGTTTTGCTTTACACAAAAATGACTCAAAGCGACACGCTATTTACAGACTTGCATCAATATCAATATGACATTTAGCCATCTCGCATAGATGTTGACCAATTTTATCCAAGCATAAATTTTCAAGGGCATTTTTGCATCAGTAATGGACATCATAGTTTCTCTTGGCTTATGACTTCTGTGTTGTTGCTTGTTACATTTCCTTCAGCAACTTTCATACAGGTGTGTCACATACTGAGGTCTATCCCTTAAAGCTTAAGATAGTTACAGTGGTACCTCAGGTTAAGAACATAATTCGCTCTGGAGGTCCGTTCTTAACCTGAAACTGTTCTTAACCTGAGGAACCACTTTAGCTAATGGGGCCTCCGTTGCCACCATGTGATTTCTGTTCTCATCCGGAAGCAAATTTCTTAACCCGAGGTACTATTTCTGGGTTAGCGGAGTCTGTAACCTGAAGTGTCTGTAACCTGAAGCGTCTGTAACCCGAGGTACCACTGTACTTCTTTAAGAACATAAGAGCAGCTCTGTTGAGTCAGTCCAAAAGCCCATCTAGTCCAGCATCCTGTTCTCACAATGACCAATCAGATGCCTGTGAGAAGCCCAGAAGCAGAACCTGAGCGCAATAACACCGTCCCCCTTTTTTTAATTCCCAGCAGCTGCCATTTTAGAGGCATACTGCCTCTGTCATTGGAGATAGTGTATAACTGTCATGGCTAATAACCTTTGAGGGCCTTGTTCTCCATAAAAAGGACATTTAGACAAAGTTCAATTTGTTATTTATTTCCAGCTATAGTCTATCTGAAGCTGAGGGGCATGTACAAATAGTTCTTGAAATCAAGAGAAATGAAAATAACTTAGAAATTAATCAAAGGAGAACAATGCTTATATTGTATCAGCTGGCAAAGGACACAATCACTACTAAATCCCTTTCCAGCATAGTGGAATTATGGCATTTGTCTGGCAGGGAAAAACCCAAAATGCTGGTGAAACACTGTGGTTCAATGGATGGAAACAAGACCACAGAAAGCTACAGGCAGAATTCTAACTGGGCACCCAATTACAGTGGTACCTCTGGTTAAGAACTTAATTTGTTTTGGGGGTCCATTCGTAACCTGAAACTGTTCTTAACCTGAGGTAGCACTTTAGCTAATGGGGCCTCCCGCTGCCGCCGCATGATTTCTGTTCTCATCCTGAAGCAAAGATCTTAACCTGAGGTACTATTTCTGAGTCTGTAACCTGAAGTGTCTGTAACCTGAAGCATCTGTAACCCGAAGCAACTGTAACCCGAGGTACCACTGTATAGCATCACAGGAATATATAAGCATCAGCAAGGGAGCAAACCCCATAAAGACACAAAGCATATGCCTTTGCTCCCAAGTTCATAGAACTATGCATACTCAGTGGAAATGCTGAAGATTGAGAGCTGCACAAATAGCAAAAATATAGGAATTGTTGATGAACACACTTGTATTCCAAGTGTGTCCAAACATAAAAATAATGGGATATATTCAGAATAATAGATTCAGCTCATAGTAGTACATGATGTACTGAAATTCGGGCCCAAGCTTAAAGCTTTGAAATCTTAATTCTTCCTTTTACACAAAAGTCAAAATCTAGTCCTGCACACTCCAGGGACTCCCTACAGGCATCTGGTGTCAGTAGAAAGTGCAGGTTTCCATAATTCTTTGTAAAATCAAAGTCAATGATAAAATGTATGATCGGGGAAGGAAAGGCCAAGCATGCTAGGTAGTTGATTTATTAGCATATTATACTGAGTGCTTTCCATTAAAAAAAAAACCTAAATAAAGATCAGCCTTGAAGGTCTGTTTTTCATTCTTTTGCCAGAAAGGAGAATTGACATACGAGGATAAGTTTTCAAAGCATCACAGAGGCCTTAACAACCTGAGTCACGTGCCTGCAACCCTGGGCATTGCTTTGAAAACATCCCCTTGGGCTCTGCATGCCTTCCTTTGGGAAGCTGGAGCACTTACAGTTCAAAAGGTCAGCAAGGGGATAAGACCAACATCATGAATATCAGCCGAGATTCTCACCTGGATGGCTTTGGGCCAGGAGTGGGGTGCTCTCTTCTGTCTGGTGAGCTGTGTTCCTTCTAAGAGGTATCATCGCACTGGAAATGTCAGAGGAAATCAAGGGTGTCAGGTAGATCTCTGACTTGAACTAGGACTTTCCAGATTTTGTCATCGTCTCGTTGATGAGCAGCAATGTACAAAGCTCAATGGAATGAGTGGGAGGCCAGCCAAACAGAACTGTCTCCAAGGTGTACTTGTCTGGGGGAAGAGTCAGCCTCCAAAGCCAGGTCCAGCAATCCACATGGTAAAACGGTCCAGGGATTCTGATGATCAGGTGGTCAAGGATGGAGACAAGCAGGCAGCAGTAAGGTAGGACCAGGAACTACAAGCATTGTTACCAGCATCTGACTGCTGCTGGATGCTCTGCATAAGAAGGCTGAAGCCAGCTGGTTCTCATCAGCACCTTCTCCTCTGTGTCCTGATCAACTGCAGGTGGGGTCACTCTGCCTTCTCCCCCTTCAGGCTGCTGTTCAGCAGGCAAAACTGACTCCTGGCCCATCACAGCTTTGTAGCAATTGCCCTACTATACAATTTCTGCTCTGTTCTCAAGTACTACCTTAGTCTATAACTGCTACACTCTCTTTTCAAGGCTTCCTTAAGCCAGAAAAGGAAGTTAGGAGCCAACCGTGTTATCAATAATGGCCATGATTTGCATATTATATTCAGCAGGATGGTTGACTGTGTTTGACTGTACAAGGACATGGTTTTATTAGTTACTATCATGGAGTGCTCACTGGAAGGACAGATCCTGAAGCTGAGGCTCCAATATTTTGGCCACCTCATGAGAAGAGAAGACTCCCTGGAAAAGACCCTGATGTTGGGAAAGATGGAGGGCACAAGGAGAAGGGGACGACAGAAGACGAGATGGTTGGATAGTGTTCTTGAAGCTACTAGCATGAGTTTGATCAAACTGCGGGAGGCAGTGGAAGACAGGAGTGCCTGGCGTGCTCTGGTCCATGGGGTCACGAAGAGTCGGACACGACTAAACAACAACAAAATCATCTTAGCCAGGGATGGGAAAACTGTTTCCCTCCATATACAGTTGGCATCTAACTCCTATAGTCAGGGTGTTTGGCAATACCTGAGGTGCCTAAAAGTCACCATATCTGATTTAGGCTCTGATTTCTTCCAAGACGCCTGAGTTTCCATCCTTTGAACACGCACATAGCTGGTGGTAAATCGTGAGCCATAAAATATTTTGGTGTGAAGTGGACTTTTTCTTTTTTAATAGTTAGATGCAGTGCAGGATTTACGTATAAGCTAAACAAGCTATAGCTTAGGGCCCCACTCCCTTGGGGGCTCCCAAAAAACGTAAAGGGGAAAAAACTGGATGTACATTTCCAAAATATAAGATAAAAAAACAAATAAAATAAAACCTACATACAGCAACATAGTTTTGTGTTGTGTAGGCTCCTATGATGTAAGTAATGGGATCCGCCTGCTCCCTAAAATATCACTGGTTTGCTCATTTCTATATAGAGGGTGTCTACATTCTGCATGTGCAAATGGCTTTAGATACCTGTTAGATCCATAAATTACCTTATAGTATATATTCAACACAAAAAAGCGACAATTGTTGACAAGCACAGCTGGACATATAAAGGGCCCCATTACCTTCAGTAGCTTAGGGCCTCATCAAACCTAAATCCGGCCCTGGTTAGACGTTCTGAATTAAAAACAACAAAGTAGGGGCAAAGAACTCAAGGAAGAATGTAGCAGGATGGCTTCCTTCACTGTACTATGCCTTAGTTTCTCCATGTTGTGCTCATAATATTTTGCTGATTGCATGGATATTTTCAACCTCTTTCTAACCAAATGAAGCCCCAGAATGAGAGCATGAATGTACAAAACCCTCCAATGTCTCCAGCTAGCCTTTCATTCCTCTTCACATACTTTTGGGTTGGATGTCAGTCTCCCTCAGGAGCCCATGATGCTTCAGGGCAGAAGTGAATAGCAGGGGGAGGAACCAAGTTCTGGAGAATATCTTTTCCTTCTATTTAGTGTGGCTTTGATCGAACAAGACTGTTTATTCATATCTCCATAGAGCTTCAGAAGATCAGAGGCCTGTAACCTCCTACCCTGAAAAGTGGCTCTCTTCACTACAGACAGGAAGCTAAATCTGGTTTTCTTCATTTACTAGTTTGACACACTTGAGCTGAGATCTGTTCTTCTGAATCGGGGAAGATTCACACAATCTCTTTCTCTTTTCGCTACTGAGTTTTTGTTTCTGATTACTCCTTTCGTTACTGAATTATTGATTTTGAATTATTGATTATTGAAACAGAACCTTCTTTGGAAAAGAGGAAGAAGTAAATCTCCTTTTAAAACAGGAGTG